TACAAGGTATTGCAAATATCTCAAAAATGGCTCATTTGCGGACTCATATTTATTAAAACTTTTTAACTTATTTTGAGACATATTAAATCCTCTGAAACATTGTATAATTTTTTCAACATATCCTGTATAATTTCTCTCAAACTTTTGCATTTTTAAAGAATAGCGTTCAATGATAAAATTTCTGATTTCCAAGACCGAAACCGTCGATATTTCGTTCTCGAAGATGGACAATTATGATTATGCAGAAATGATAAAATCACAAATCGGCGGATACGTCAGATATGGCGACCATCATTGATATAGAGGTTGGCATCGAACGCTCATTATCGTGAACGACAGCGTCGTCGTCAGTGGATTGTAGTTCTTCGCCAACCGTTTCGTCCCTCTCTTTCCTTCCCTCTATCCACACACGTGTACTTGCGGATTTAACGACATGTTCGCATCGTTTATTAAATTAACGATCAGTCGTGAAGCTCACCTTTATTGCGAATGCTTTTGGTAGAGGGATACGAGCAAGTGAACAATGGTGAATTTAAAGCAGAAACCCTAGCGAGGCAATATTTAAAGCGATTGATAGAAATCGCTATTTATAACTATTTTTTAATATTTTTTTTAATATTTTAATATTTTTAATATTTTTAATAATAAAAAATAGAACTTCTCCTATAAAGTAATATATCGTAAATATTAGATGTAATTTTGGGGTGTTTTGTTTCAATAGTGGGGCTCCAAATATATCTGGTCTCTGTATATAATATTAGCATTTAATCGCAGAATTATTTCAATATACATAACTTTTGCAATTCTGGTTCTCCCTTAAATAATTTTAAAGTTCCTGATTTATTTAAAAAATAATTTTAAATATTTTTAGATTAAATATAAAAAATTAAAAGTTTAATGTTAAAATTAATGGAAAATATAAATTAAAATTGGAGATTACTTTTTATTTCGATAGAAAAGTCTTGCAATTATTTAAAACTCTAAGAACATGAGATTTTCGAAAAATTAAACTTTTACAAAAAATTGAGAAAAATTATTAAGATTTTTTATTATTTCTTTTTAAATTAGAACTCTAAAATTCTTTGAAAAAAAAACTGTAAAATATAGCAAAATTCTAACACTGGAATTAATCTCAGAGAAAAAATAAGCACTTATTTATAGATAGATTTATAAATTCGTAAAAAAATGAGTTATTAATTATTAGAAAGAAAAGATAATATATAAGTTTCTTAGATTTGAGATATTATTTGCGATAGTACACGTTCTAAAAATTTTACAATTCTAAAAACAATATGTGCCATAGTGACAAAGTTATATATGACAGCAGTTTCCGGACTGAAATTAAATCGATTCTTGCCAAATTAAATTAGCAGAGAAAATTTTCAGAATTAAAAAATACAATGTAAAAATAAACGTAGAAATAGAGATAACCCAGATAGCACCATGTCCAAAATGCACCCATAAGACATTTTTAAGATGTTTTCAAGATGTCTTTGGAATATCATATCATAAGATTTCTTAAAGATGTCTTAAAGATTTCTTAATGATGACTTATGCGTGCATTTTAGACATGGTGCTATCTGGGAAGAAAGAGAGAGATAAAAAGGTTGAAATATGATTCGTCAGAAATGTTATAAATAATATAATGTATAGTAAAAAAAACTATTCATAATCAATTATATTTGGCTTTGTACTTTATAACCGTTTAAAACAATTTTTCATTCTTTATATTACCAAACCATTTACTAAAAAATATTCAAGAAAACAGAGTCGATTGTTTCTAGCGAATTGCTTCAGCTGTAAATAAATTTTCTTCCTCAATAGACCTTTTATGTATCCCATCGGCCGGGTAAAGTGTGTGAAATATGTGTCAGTCGTACCATAAAGTAGAAAGATTAGATTCAGAGCTGAGATTCCATGGTACACATCTGATACTTTAGTCATTCGCCAGAACATTAACGTCACAATGAAATGGTGGGAAGATATCTTCTCTTCTTTTTTATCTTCACTTGCAATTTTGGAGGTTAGGTTAGGTTAGGTTGGATTCAGAGCTGAGATTCCATGGTACACATCTGATACTTTAGTCATTCGCCAGAACATTAACGTCACAATGAAATGGTGGGAAGATATCTTCTCTTCTTTTTTTATGTTTACTTGCAATTTTGGAGGTTAGGTTAGGTTGGATTCAGAGCTGAGATTCCATGGTACACATCTGATACTTAGGTCATTCGCCAGAACATTAACGTCACAATGAAATGGTGGGAAGATATCTTCTCTTCTTTTTTTATCTTCACTTGCAATTTTGGAGGTTAGGTTAGGTTAGGTTAGGTTGGATTCAGAGCTGAGATTCCATGGTACACATCTGATACTTTAGTCATTCGCCAGAACATTAACGTCACAATGAAATGGTGGGAAGATATCTTCTCTTCTTTTTTTATCTTTACTTGCAATTTTGGAGGTTAGGTTAGGTTAGGGTTTGTAAAAAAAAAGGATGGCGTAAATTTGTTTCACGTATCTAACACGGTCTGCTAAACCGAGTGCGAGTATTTCAAACGCGACATACATACAAGAAACGGGCGACTATCTAGCTAGCTCAAAGACAGACAGACAGCTCGTGAGATAAGAAAGAGGAAGACCTCTCTCCACGCGAGAGGCGAGTATTTCATCGTTCTTTCGTGGAATTTTTTGCGGCGGAATTCTTGCCAAGTCTCGTGGCCGGGTATTACCTCTCCTTTGAATCCACCTCGAACAAGGCTCGATCTTTAAGACGCTCGGAGGTTAGTAATTTGTGGATTATACGAGCGCGATCTCCTCTCGCGAAGGGCGACAGGGACCGATAGAAGGATGAGGGATGAAGGTGGAAGGATGAGGAAGCTCGAGGCGATATATAGGAAAGGGAAAAGAAATAGTGTCGCGTTGGGTGAACTCGGGGGGTAGCATGTGCACCCTCTCTGTAATTTTCTGACCTCTTCTCTTCGTCTGATCCCCCCGTGGCCTTTTTTCACCCTCACTTCTTCTTAGTCATCGCGATTCAGCCGCGAGACTTTTCATTTGCGGATATCACTCTGGCAATATGTTATTTACAACGGAAAGTAATTTTTTGCACGTCATCTTTGATGATCTTAGATTCTGAATAGACCCAATAAGCCTGAAAAGATTATAAGGTATGTGCAAGGGTTCGTTTTCTGAATATATATCAATTAGTAAGAGAAATCTCGACACGTGAAGCTATATCTTACCAAGTTGCTATAATAATTGATTTTGTAATATTCATTTTTTTATACTAAATCGTAAAAAATTAATAAATAAATCTGATGATAATAAATCTCTATTGTTATAAATCTTCTCTTTTCTTCTCATTAGCAGATATTTTGACTACTAAAAATTTAGTAAGGGAAATCTCGACACGTGAAGCTATATCTTACCAAGATGCTATAATAATTGATTTTGTAATATTCATTTTTTTATACTAAATCGTAAAAAATTAATAAATAAATCTGCTCGTAATAAATCTCTATTGTTATAAATCTTCTCTTTTCTTCTCATTAGCAGATATTTTGACTACTAAAAATTGAACAATTGCTTTTTTTTAATTATAATTCTTGTTAAATATTATCTTAAAGTTTTACATTTAATTGTTAGCATTATCACATTACATTTATAACAAATTTAGAATTTGTAATCTATTAATATAAAGCTATAAATATAAATAATATTTTTGTATCTTGCAGAACCACATACACAAAAAGAATGGTTTTTTATTAATGTATGTTTAACGTTTTTAGCAGTACACACATCAAAATACTTGATTTTTTCAAGAAAAAGAAAAATAAGGAATTGATACGAATAACGGATGCGAGAAAGAATTTTTTTGTTAAGTAAACACTGATTTATATTTCCTATTTTCATTACTATTCTACCAATAATTTAAATCTTTAAAGAAAATCTTCGACGGAAAAAAATACTCAAGTATATACACGTGAAGAAATATTCAAACTGCTATATAACAAAACATTGTTAAATATTAACTTATACAAACAGATGTGAAAGTCTCATTCGATGCCAAGAATATATTATTGTTACTTATAATTTAATTATATTGTTTATTATCACATTTGTATTATACATTGGGTTATAGAGAAAACAATAAGTTATATAATAGTACATAAATGATTATAAATTTAAATACGCAAATTAATCGCTAAAAAGAACTTTTTTTAAAAAATCTAGCATCCACAAAATATGCATTTTTTATAAATTTTATATAATGTACATTATAAATAATTTTAAGCTTATTTATTGCTTTATATAATGTATATTAAATAATAAATAAAAATTTTAATTATAAAAATATATATATAATATACATTATATGTGGCTGTAGAAGGCTGAATACAGCCGAAACGTTTATACATTATGTAATCAACGATTAAACAAACTCATTTTTTTTTAATATAATCTTTATCTTTGCTCGTGAGTTGGCCGTTTTTACTTATTAATTATTGTTTAATAATAAAGTAAAAAACGTTGAAAAATAAAATAAAATTTAAGATAATTTTAATTTTGATATCTTCAATAATTTATTTATCACATTTAGCATAAAAAATTTTTCTTAACTATATATTATATAGAGACGCGCGCACATACACACCACACATACATATATGCATATACACATTGTGTGTGTGTGTTTATATGTACAGAATATTTAAAAAGTTGCAGGACAGAGAAATATCTCATAACACGTAAATTTTATAAAAAAATGTTTCAGACAAAAGTTGGAAGTTTGAAGTGCATAATTTTTGTAAATGGTTTAAACACTTTGTATACTTTGTATATGCAATTACTTATACAAATAAATTAATTAAATATAAAAGTATACACATAATTATTGCAAAAATTGATTTACCTGCAATAGATGAAAATAAAATAAAACAGAGAAAAATGACGATACTAAGAATAATTATATAAATAATTTTAGCAAATATATTCGTCTGAGGATCGTTCTAATCAATGAAATACAGTACTTTTTTTTCGTTATATCCGTATTATTTTTCAATTTAATGTAATAAATGTTTTTTCTTTGTCAACTGTTACATGTTCATCAATGCGTAACGTTGGTAAGTTTTGAGGTTTTGTCGTAATATCTGAAAAGATAATACCAATAACAATTCATCTAATTGATTAACCTTGCTACAAAAAGTAGATTAACTTTGCTACAAAGGTACACACACATTATAAGTTAAAAAATATTCTAATAATAAACAATCTATTATAATAGGGAATTAATTTTGTTTTAGAGATAAGTTATATAAATAAATCAATTTATATTAAAAGTAAAAGTACATTATTAGTCAATTATGTTTACTATTTCTGGTAGTAAAAATAGACATATATTATTATATTTTATAAAAATAATATTCAATTAGACTCTCACTTCTTGCGTTACTTTCTTTATGTGATTAATCTTAAAACGGAAAAAATTCAAAGCAAAAATAGAGACAAACATTTTTCACATTATATATTTAAAATCGACAGAGTAATCACATTTATATAGAATTTTGATATAAATTATTATCTTACTTGAAATTAAAATTGCAAAAATAATAATGCATGTTTGTGTCATAAAGTGCATTGTGAGAACTCTTCCTGTAAAAAAATGAGGTCACAACATTCTTTATCTAAACAGTCGTTATTAGCCTCGCAATATGACACCAATTTTCTGAAATCTGTAACGTAATTATATTTAATATCAAAATTATAAGATGCGACATAATACTTTTTTGATAGCTCAGATCTCAACAAAAAGAAAGATTAAATATAACAATTTATGATAGTAAAGAATTATTATATGATAAAATAAATAAAAATAATATTAAATGATGATAAATGATAAAGAAGATAGAATAAAAGTTTGAGCTTATACCTGTATTCGATATCGATGATAAAATTTTATTACCGTGTGCGTATTCGTCACAATGATAGAAAAGTCTACAGCACCCACCAAATATTTAAAACATAATGATATAAAAATGATATGATTATACGAGAAAAAGCACAAAATATTTATATTTATTACTAAGCAAGGTTATATCAACAAAAGGAATGCTAAATATCTAAATCGAACGGTATACTATATCACAAAAATCATTTGACTCGAGTTTATATTATTATCGAATTTATAAATCAATAATTTAATGAATTAATTTGAAAAAGAAACTTTATATAATTTACTATTATCATTTAATTATATTACACATAAAATTTAATTATTATAATTAAATTTTAGCTTAATTATAATAAATTTAATTATAATAATTAAATTTTAGCTATGATAACTAATATTTTTTTAGCTGCAGAAATCTCCGTTAAACTATAGCTAAAAAATATTAGTTACCATATCTAAAATTTGGGCATGATAACTAAATTTTAGGTTATAATAAAAGGGACAGCTTTTAGTTATGGTAACTAATGTTTTTTTTCGTGCGAAATAAAGTTATAAAACAATTAAGAGTTTCAAATGATTTAAAAATTTTTGTCCACATTTTTTGTTCGGAATTAATCAGAATTAAGGATACGATATCGTCTGTAAATTATTTTTTTCCCAAATAACGTCTCTAAAGAAAAAGCCATTTTCTCGTTTAAATTGACGAGCGAGTTTAGATGCGTCAGAGAGATTTCGTTTATCACTTTTACAATCAGTGAATTTATGGATTATTCGGTATAGCGACGTTGGAGGAACAATGGTACTCGCGGGAATATAGCACGATAGGCGTAGGAAAATGTACAGATAACTCCCAGCCTTATAAATATTGCGATAATTAATGTATCGGAAACGATGTACTATATACACTCGTTCAGCATTAATTTCGATAAACATAATTAACGATAAAGTATGCGTGTTGTTATTTTCTAATTAATCTCGTATTTTAAGAAATATTTCAAACAGTAACTTTTTTACACTGTAAAAAAATATTATCTCTTTACTTACTTATGTATATTTAATATTTAATATATCTATATTTTTTACTCGAAAATGCGGACAGTTATTATTATTTAAAAAATTAATAAGTATCCGCAACTATCACCTGATATGATTCAATGATTGCTAAGGATTCAAGTTCAATATATGCATCTTTTCCAAGATAAATTTACATATTTTCCATTTCGATTCTACTTAGATAATTTAAAAATCATCTAAGCACAACACTGGATAGACATAAGTCTTGAGACGAGCGATCGCAACAGCAGAAAGAACAATCTTCTCGGAAACATGTCCATTACGCCTTGTTAGAGAATAGTGGTCATTTCTCCCTGAGATATCCTGTAGGCGGTGCGACTGGTAAATAGGTTGCATTTAGAGGCACTCAACGCCCAGCGTGTGGTCCGTCCGAAACACGCGAGAAAAGCCGCGTGGAGCCCGGATTGACATTATCGGCAGTCTCTCCCTTTCTCGAGTTGCAGGAAAATCTCTCGAAGAGGGTGCCTCCTCCGGTGCGCCCCGTAATAGCGCAGGGATTATGGGTTCTTTTATTGATGAATAAAAAAACATAACGCGCCAAGTTGATGCGTCGATGCTGGCGCGATTGAAATGTAATCGTAGTGGCAGGTGTATATGTATACTTAGGTTGCGTTCCAAAACGTCCACTTCGAGGAAAATTTTACTGATAATCTATAATATACGTAACGTGTACTATTGTTTTTTAAGTAAAATTTTCCTCGAGAAGGACGTTTTGGAACGCAACCTTAAACGATGTAAAATTGTATGAATAAAGCATCTCATATTTTTAGGTTAGTTTTAATGTTTTAATGTTTTAATGCTAAACGCGTGCTTTTCAATTTATTTTTTTTTTTTATAATTTTCTTAAGAGAGAAATTAAATTGATTTTAGTTAATTCTTATTAAAATCTTTTTTTTTTCTCTTCTAGTGATTTTAATAGAATTTATTTTAACTATTTATTGGCTATACATATATAGGCTATTTCAAAAGGAATGATCAGTACTTTAGGACATGATTGTACACATTATTTTAAGCAAAAAAATAAACATGTGTTCTGTTCTAGACAGTTAAAAAGATACACACGTTCAATTTTAAGAACTAATATATTTATAAATTAGGCTATAAAACGCATTAAATTTTCCTGTTACCATATAGTTACGAATGTAAATATTAGGACGTGTTTTATAAATCCTATGTTAGTTTTTTATTTCTACTATAATTGAAATATCTCTTATATTCACTTATGCCAAAATTATTATTAATAATTGACATTATTATTTATTAATTAATATTAGTTATTCAAGTTTGTTGTTAGCTTAAAATTTAATGCAATTTTTCAAAGAATTTGGTTATGTTAAGTATATATTAATAAATTCGTTGGAAAGACTAAATCATCCACAATAGGACACATATATGTTTATATCATCTTTTTGCTTAAAATAATGTGTACAATCATCCTAAAATCTGTATATACATATAATAAAATTGAACTATTTTTAGACAACGAATAATAATTTAAAAAATAAAATTATATTTAAAATAGATTTTTTGGGGAAAATTGCCAAAGTGATTGATATTTAATCATTTTAACTGCGATAATTTCTGAAAAAAATCTCGCTTGTAAATTCTGTATTTTCAATAGATTTCTCAATCAATACCGGCAAATTAAATTTGTTGAAAGAGAGAGAGAGTAAGTTAAATAAATTTCTGATTGCGTTCCTGTTTTGCTTTGCAAAAAAGGCCTTTCCGGGAAAATCTGTACAGAGAGTCCCCACGATAGTTCTTTATGTCCCAAAAAAATATCGCGAAATACGGTAGCGGATCGCGTTCGAATGGCCGGGTACGAAAGCTACAGGCACAAATGCATCAGTTGGTATTGATTGCAGCAACGCCGGGGCAGACGCTCTCTCACACCGACATCACCTGGGTACACGCATGTCGTGCGTTGCGCGCGCGCAGAATGCATCGAGGTGAAGAGAGAGAGAGAGAGCGAGAGTAAAGGGAGGAATCGAGGATATATAGAAGACGGTAGGGACAAGGATATATAGGGTGTGCGGCAGGGCCGATGTTCCGCGCGGAGGTCACGGAACGTCAGTGATTGACGATGCACGCATGTCATTCGCACACATACACATACACACATATATATATATATATATATATATATATACACGCATGTCGAACGAACGGATGGACGGACGTTATTCTCGTAGAGAGTGCGCGGGATCAAGGACGAGCACGTCCGCAGGAGTAGACATCAGAGGGAAAAGCCCAACAGAGGCGCAGGCAGTCGCATACGTCGAGCTTTACTGACCTACTTCAAGCTTTCGATCCTCTTTAACGTCCTTCGCGCGCTTCTCACCCTTCCTCTTGCGTGGGCTCCTCGCATAGTTGCATTTCTTGTGTGTTCCTGGTTTATAAATAATTATTCGAGATGCCATAATGTGCAGTAAATATATAATCAGTGTTTGCTGTTATCTAAACAAAATTATATCATCTAGATTAAATTTGGCGTCATCTTATCTTTAGACACTGTAAAAAATATGTAATATATTACACAAAAAATATGTAAAATTATATAAATAATAAGTGTATAATTACACGATAAATAATAGAAATATTTACCTTTTCATTATTTATCATGTAATTTTACATTGATTATTTATGTAATTTTACATATTTTTTGTGTATAGATAATAAAAATTATATGTTCAGATAATTTGGTTTAGAGTCATAATAATACTTAATTGTAGAACTTGAGCAGTAAGCGATAAAAAATTTATATTAATAAAAGTATGAATAAATTTTTAAATCCCTTTTATAATTTACATTTTTTTATAACTGTGTTTACATAAGCGGTTTTAAAAATAATATAAGAATAATATTATCCAGAAGTTATAACTTTATTTTTTATCTACATATATATATAAATAATAGTATATTCTGTATCAAGTGTGGAAAGTTGACAATTGGTCACGAGTGCGGGGGATGACGCGCGAGCTGAAGACGAGTGCGACCAACCCACACGAGTGAACAATTGTCAATCCGCACGTGATACACATACTATTTTGTATTACAAGTGCAGGCAAAGTGGCTTTGTGCGCGTTTTCTGTGCGCGAGATGGCCGATCGCACGCCGCTATCTTGCGGCGGCACGGTGCGGGAATAGCCGTGTTCAAAATCATTGTCTACGGCTGAAACCGTGGGCAATGTATTGCCCACGGCTTTAGTCGTGTGCAATAACTTTAAACGCAGCTCAGCCGTAGGCAATGGCTTTGAATGCGGCTTATTCACTCACCGCGTCGCCGCTAGATGGCGGCGTGGGAAATCGGTTTCCGCACAGAAAACACGCACACAAAGTGCCACTTTGCCTGCACGTGTAATACAAAAAGTATTTTGATAATTTGATGTTATCTCTCTTTCTTTCTTTTCTTTTAAATAAATATATATGTATATATTTATTTAAAAAAATATATATAATAAAAATTAATTGTAAAAATTTAGATATTTTTAAATAAAATATCTAAATTTTTACAATTAATCATATATATATAATCTTTCTCTTTTGTTATAATAAAGGACTATCCCCTACTTAAAAGATTACCTCATTTTTTCAAGCAGCTCCAACTCTACCAGAAAGAAGTAGCTGGGATTAAAAATTCCATGTAATAGAAAAATTCAATTTATATTATCAGAATTTTATTTTATTAAACTTTTCAGAAATATATTTTATCGTGTCGTGATGAATTTTTTTGCACACACGAATTAATTTAATGAGGTAATCTACTTTAAATCTCATATCCATTTATAAAATTATTATTCTGCGTTTGCCATTATTATTGTTCAAATAAATTGTTTTCGACAAGTATAATTAGCTAATGTATATTTGCTATAGGTTTGCAATTTTGATTCATCTATAGTTAATACTCACTTATGCGTGCTATCATTTTCTCCATGAGATTCTATTAAGTCTAATGGATATATATATACA